TATCTATCATATATGTATTTAATACAATCAATTTTACCACTTGTACATTAAAAATGTAAGATAATATAATCAAAGGTTGTCTAGTATAGGTAGATCCTTCAGGAATAGTCAAGGATTTTCCAATCTCCCCCAACTTGCTCCAAGTTAGACAGATTCCACTTTTCAGTTGATTGGGAGGCTTTGTGGGGGTCCTTGGCCTCTCGATCCTTGCCCACAGTCACTTCAAATCATTGTCCCATTTGTATTGGCAAAGAATCTTCTTTTGGAGGCCCCTCACCCTTCAAATTTGAGAATATGTGGTTGGAAGATCAATCTTTTAAGGAGAAGGTTAGAGAATGGTGGGGGGAGTGTGGGCCTCTGGAAAGGAGGAAAGTTGTAAGTTTCTCAAGAAAACTAAAAAAGCTGAAACAGAAAATAAAAGTGTGGAACAAAGAACAATTTGGAAGATTAGAAGAATCTTAGGAATCTATCTATTCAAGGATTGAAGTCTTGGATACAAAAGAAGCTCAAGGATTGTTGATAGAGGAGCACAGAGTGGAAAGATGGGATCTAAAATTAAATCTGGAAGAGATCTTGAGGAAAGACGAAATCAATTAAAGATGGAAGTCCATATGTAAGTGGCTACTAGAAGGGGATGGCAACTCAAAATTTTTTCACTCGCTTGTAAATGGAAGAAGGAAAAACACCATTTCTAGTGTAGAAGTGGAGGGTCAAGAAATAAGGGAAGAACGAGAGATCATTATGATTTTTGTGAATCATTTCAAGGAGATATTCTCAACCTCAGGGGGAACAAACTCAGCTCTCCCAGATTTGAATTGGGATAGAATCTCAGAAGAGAAATCTCAAGTTTTAGAAAGAAAAATTTCAGTTTAGGAGATTAAGAAAGCAATCTTTTCAATGGAAATGTCTAAAGCCCCTGGATCAGATGGTTTTTCCATGGGTGTTTACCAAGAGTGTTGGGAGATTTTGAAAGATGACCTTTGTACAATGTTTGAGGAGTTCCACCTTGAAGGAGAGATCTCTCCAGGGACTACTGCCACTTTTATTTCCTTGGTGCCAAATAAGGAGTCAAAGACCCCAAAGGATTATAGGCCAATAAGTTTGATTGGGAGCTTCTATAAGATTATCTCAAAGGTTCTGTCTGAAAGACTATAATTGGTCTTACCATCAACATCTCTCCATTTCAAGGAGCTTTTGTGGAAGGAAGACAAATTATTGATAAAATCTTGGTGGCTAATGAGAGTGATACAAAGAAAAGAAGGGGTGGTGAGAAGGGTTTGGTATGTAAGTTGGACCTAGAGATTCTATCTAGAACTAGTTTTGGTGCTAGATGGAGATTGTGCATTAAAGGTTGTGTGAGCTCAGTGCAATATTCAATTCTTATTAATGGAGTTGCAATAGATTTCTTTCCTACCAAGAGAGGGATTAGGCAGGGAGATCCATTGTCCCCTTTCCTTTTTACTTTGGTTGCGGAGATCTTAACAAGAATGATTGTTAAGGAAGATCTGCAAGGATTGCTTAGAGGCTGGAGGGTTGGAAGGAATCAGGTTGTTGTCTCCCATCTTTAATTTGCTGATGACACAATCTTGTTTTGTGAAGGGGACGATCCAGTAGATGTAAGGAATTTGAAGGGTTTGATTGATAATTATGAACAGGTTTCTAACATAAGGGTCAACTGGAGGAAAAGTGGTATAGTTGGAATTAATATGGAAGAAGGGAAGGAAGTCCTTAGGTTAGCAGATTTGTTGGGGTATGAAGCTAAGAATTAGACATTAGAATACCTAGGCCTACCACTTGGAGGAAACCTTAATCAGAGCTACTCTGACAAATCTTTGTCCACCTTTCATGCCCCAGTTAGAATTGTAGCACAATTAGAGAAATATATGAGGTATTTCTTGTGGGAGAGTGGAGGAGAAAAAGGATCATTTAGTTAAATAGGAACAAGAAATCCCTCAAGGAAAAAGGTGGCACACTGGGTAAAAACTTGGAAAGTTTGGATGAATTATTGGACAACATCAAAATAAAGATGGCACACTGGGTAAAAACCTTGGAAAGCTTTCAAGTGATCTCAGTCATTGATATCTTTAGAGCTTGCTCAGAAGTGGCACAATCCAGTCATAGTTTTCAAGGCGCCATGGCAAGGCTAGGCGACAGGGGGGCGCCTTGTCACCTAGTCACCTAGGCGATGGATTTTTTGAAGTAAAAACATGTATCCTAGGGTAGTTCCCTAGGCTCCATAATCATATTTCCTTAATAAATATCCATAATTTTCGTAAGAAAAGTATAAACTTCATGTTTAAATATAGCAAATCAACATATTCCAACATATTCAAGAGAAGTAAAAGAAGAAAGAAAAGAAAATTCAAAAAATATAGGGGCTGAACCCCTATTTCTGTTATAGGAAAAGAAGAAAAGAAGAGGTGGAAGAAGAAGAAGAAGAAGAAATTAATATATAAACACACAAAATTAGTAAAGAAAAAGAAGAAAATGTGTTGATTGGACAACTTTTTATGTTCTTCCTTACTTATTGGTTCAGGTTTTGAAGTCTTTGAGGGTTCAATACAGCACTTAGCAATGTTTTTGTTGATTAAACCCTAAAAAATAAGAAAATAATAAAAAGAAATTAGTATATAAACACACAAAATGAATATTTTAGTTTTAAAATGTCTATAGAAGTTTTTTATAACATGCTATAGAAAACTGCTTGGCGGTTAGGCGAGGCGAGCCTCCAAGGGCGCCTTGTCGCCTAGGCGGCGCCTTGACAACTATGAATCTAGTAGAGGAAAAGAAAAGAAAAAGCTGGAGTGGAAAAGTAAAGCTGAATTTTGATGGGAGCTCTTTTTGAAATCCGGGAATGGCTGGAATAGGTTGCGTGATAGGAATTCTGAAAGCAGAATATTGGCTCTTTATTCAGGTCCCATTGGATGGCGAACTCATTCAAAGCTGAATTGTTAGCTTTGCTACAAGGTCTTCAGTTAGTAACAACTGGGGTACAGATAGGTAGAGGTGGAAAGAGATTCAAAATTAATTGTATCATGGACTAATAGTAGCAGTCAGACTCCATGGACTCTTAGACATGCTTTTAGGGAGGTGGAAAGTATTGCTAAGGACAATTGTTGAGTACTGCAAACAGATTAGCTGATTCCCTAGCTAAGCAAGGAGTTATGAGACAGAATTTGTTTTGGGCTGCTACGTAAGATTGAGTGTAGCTTTTTGGGGTGGCAGTCTTTCCTCTTTGTATTAACTTTTTTTTTTGAAGAATAAAAATAAAAATTCATTCAAAAAAGGAAAAAAGAATACAAAAGGAAGCAAACCCAAAGAACCCAACAAAGATCTCAAGAGTCCCATACTAAAACCCAAAAAGCTTTAAGATTCTCTCAAAACAATCTCAAGCAAAGACCAAGGAAACAACCCAAAAAAAAACAATCTCAAGCTTTAAGATTCTCTCTCATGTTTGTCACCTGCAGAAACACGTCCTTCCCCAACCTCCTTCTCCCCCCCCCCCCCTTCCAGCCTCTGTAAACCCACAGGGAAATCCACTTCTGAAGTCAAAACAGCAGGCTTTCCAGAGCCATGCCTGCTCCCATCTGAAACCTCAGCTCAGCAGAGTCGCAACATTCCTCGGCACCTCTGCCACCCAGAGGACAGATATCAGAACCTTCATTTGCTGAAGAAATTGGGAAGCTCATGAGATCCATGCCTGTTCCTTCAATAAACTCTTCTTACCACTCTAATCATACTTGGCAATCATCCAGATCCACATTTCTCCCTTATTCTTTCTGCTTTCATTCAAAGAACTTCTAATCAGCGCCCCACTTCTTTTAAACTTTATCTTCAATCTTATAATAAAATTTCTCTTTGCTGATAAAAATAAATGGATATCTTCTCCAATCCTATAGGACACAGAACTACTGACTGTTTTACAAAGATTGAAGCTAGCCAAAACACGATTATAGAGATCCTATGGCAGATAGAGTCTCAAGGATAATAGGAAATTGGCTCAAAATGACAATATTTTTTTTTCTTGATTGGTGCTCAAAATAACAATAATTGTTCTTGGATTTATAGATTCTTGGTGAGAGAATCATTACAAATAGAAAGCAAGTTGCAGGTTATATTTGTATGGACCCAAAGATCTTCCAACTGCCTAGCTAATGCAACAGCCAGGCAAGATTTTAATAGGAAAGCTCTGTATTGAATTAGGGCAGGGGATAGATTATTAGTGTTAGCCTATCAAAAGAAGGAATGTTTGGCACATTTGTCTTATATATCATTTTTTCATACAAAATAAAATTTTTCCATTACCAGAAAAAAAAAAAAGACATAAGGTAGTATAATCAAATTTGACTTAAAATTCAATTAACCCACATATAAATAAATATCTAATGGCTCTTTAACCAACATATGATGGAAAATAAACAATACGATTTCATAATAGGTCTTAATAACCTAAATAATATTATCCCGGTAAAGGGTTTAAAAAAAGCCCCAAGAATAAGTAAAAAGAAACAAAGTAATGAAAAGCTAGAGAACTAGGTGTCAATTGAATTGATTTTTTTTATAGGAGTGTCAATTGAATTGATTTGAATCACACAAACCATATAAATCATAAGATTCATAAATTGAATCCTAAGATTAAAATAATAATGGTATGATTTTTCCAGAAAAAGATTCAGAATAAGTTTCAAATCAAAATCCCAGTGGTATTTATTTATTTTAATCATAGATTGTATTGTAAATTATACGATTTTGACAACTAGTACAATCTTTATCTTCTCAAAATAGCTGGCACCAAAATGTCATCTGTAATAATCTATCATCAAAGATATTGTACTTTGCACCATTAAATTTGAATTGCAATATTAAGCATATTCATTAGTAAAATATGATTATCAGGCCATAAGAGTATATAGTTGTGGCTGTGTGTGTGTCAGAGAGAGAAATAGAGGGGGGAGAGGAAAAAAATAAAACTGCAGAAAAGAGTTGTAACTTTTACTTACACCAATGTTCGTAATATAATGACACAGTGCACATTTAACCGATGGTGCTCCATATGGATACATAAGCATTGTATGACACTGGCCACAGTTCACATGAGCATATGGAGGAGATGCTTTGCATGCAGAACAAGAGATTTCAAAAAATTAGTACAATACATGAATTCATCTATAGGCTTTCAAAAATCAGGCATAAATAAACAAAAAAAAAAAAGATGGTAGTGAAGAAGAAAACGGAAGCATATAGAATCTTAAAAGTTGTGGTGCCTTAGCCAGGTCTCAATTTTCGTAGATCAATTAACCACCAGAGATATAATCTCTGTCTTCATAAGAAGCAACCGACCTCCAAGAGGCTATACCAGCACTAAAGGAGAGATCTCTTTACACATAAACTGATTTGAAATTGTTAAGGCAAGTCCTAACAGTCCAACTATTATATCTTCTTGATGGTAACATTGGTAAGATATGACATATAAGATGCAAACGAAAAGATGAGTTGATCAAAATGGTTACATTCATCCCAAAGTATATTTTACCTATGAGAACTCCTTGGCTGTAGTCATCAAATGTTGGGTCCAACCCCCTAAGAATGTGCAGGCATGGTGGAGAAAGGAAAAATATGGGAAGTGTCTTTTTCCCATTCTCCCCTAAAGACAAATATTTATGACTACAAAGGGTGAAACAGTACATACATGGTTTACAACCACGACAATATGTTTCCATCAAATCTTTGAAGTATTACTATTAATATGGAAATTGATCATCAAATATTTTTCACAAGCATTCACAGGAAAAAAAATTACCTGCTCTTACAAGGTTAGTTGTTTGACAGCAGGAGCATCTCACACTTGTCGCCCCACGTGTGTACATTAGCAATGTCCGGCAACCTCCGCATATGAGCTGAGCCATTTCCATTCCTGCTTCAAGTATGGTACAGCAAAAGATATAACTCATGATGATTCAAGAGGAGAATACCACAGAGGTTTAAATAAACCCATTTAAAACCAAGATACTTACATTTAGATACTAAAGAAAAAAAGAAATTTTGGAACAATAAACAGAAAAAAGAAAGATAATATATGTTTGCACAACTGGTGACCTAGCAAAGTGCTGTCAAAGAAAATAACTTAACACCCAAGCCTGTTTCATGATTACCGCAAAAGTTCATCCTTCAACAAGAAGTCTCTGGAAAGACTGTCCAATCTGGAAACTTACCTGGATGAAAGTGTTCAGTCAGGAAAAAGATTTGGTATCTAATCTGGTAACCAGGCCTCATGGCCCCTTCTCCTTAGAATGGATCCTCCTCCACCCGATCTGTGAATCTCCAACAATGTTTATCTTCTATACCTGCACAATGAATAAAAACTCTGCTCTAACAGAATCACCAATACCTGCAGGGCCCAAATAGGGCACATTGTCCACTCTTGCCTTATATTTCTCTCTACATTTGTCCCCCCTTTATCTTTCTCCATTGAAAAAGAACTAGAAAACACAAGACTGATGATGGAACCCAAATAGTCTATAGAAAGAAATAATTTCTGCTAAGTCCTGCTATAGAAGCTGGTCTTGGGATCCAGTTGGTATTACCACACCCTATTGGTATGCTCTATGAAGAGGCATCCGTCAAGCATAGTCTGAATTTCTGAAAAGCATTCAATAAAAGATTAGTGATGGGACCAAAGTGAGGTTTTAGCTGGATCCTTGGTGTGAGGAACGTACATTTTGAAGGAGATAGGACTGTTAGGACCCTTTATTTAAGGTGGCTCAAGACAAAACAGGTTCTAGTTGTTGATATTTTCTTTATCAAAGGGAATCGGGGGCATGAAATCCCACCATTAGGAGTAACTTAAACGAGTGGGAGATAGGGCCTTACATGGACCTTATGCACAAAATTGGCTTGGTTAACTGGAGGACAGGTACTGAAAAGTGAGGTTGGATGTGGAGTGAAAATGGAAACTTCTTCGTGAAATCTTTCTCTAGCAGACTGGCTAAAACTGGGGAGGCCTATTTCCCTTGGAATAGAATGTGGCATACGGTCAAGATTGCCTTCCAACTAAGGATAGCTGCTTTGAATAAGTGCTTAACCACAAATAACTTAATCAAAAGGAGTATCCTGATTGACAATGCTACCTGCATTATGTGCAATGAATGTATGGAGTGAATGAATCACTTTTTCCAGCATTGCAGTTTTACCAAGTGGATGTAGGATAGAACATCAGGCATCTTTGGAGTTCTTTTTTCTTTTTTTTTTTTTTTTTTTGTGATCAGTAACAGAAATTACTTTTCATTAAAATACTGTTAAATCAATACATATGAGACTGGAGCTTACATCCAGCAAGGCAGCAACCCATTCATATTTATAAGGTCCATTACAATTCTTCCTAAAAATATTGTTTGTAGACCCCTTGCTTTGCTAGAACATCAGCCAACCTGTTTGCCTTTCCCTTCACCCATCTGTAAGTAGCTTCCTAGCCAATCTTCTCATCTCCCTTATACCTTTGGCCCTGGTGTGGACCGCGTGGATTGAGAGAAAGACCAGAAGTTTTGAAAACAGGTTTAGCTCGGACTTCAGAGGATACAATTGTAGAGGCCCTATGGGACAGGATATATTCATGAGTTACCAAAACCTACTCTAGTGCTCTGATGGATCTCTTTCTTTCAATCAGCAGCTTCAAGTCCAATGGAAAATCAAAAAAAAAAGGTTAAGCAGCCACACTTGCTTCCATAATTTTCAGCAGCCTTAACCCATCTTTAACGCTTCAGATTGTGCAAGGCACAAATAGAGTGGCAAATCAGGAGAACCTGAAGCAGAGCATGAATACATCACCAAGGGTTAAACAATGGGGAGAGAGGACAGATTGCCAGATTAGGCAAAGGACAGAAATGCTTCCCAACCAACTTAGGGGGACAGATAATTACCAACTCTCTGAACCAGTTTGGGAGGCCGAGAAATTCTGCCAAGAGTCAACTCCACCCCTCCAGTTAAACCCAGGTAATCGAGTAAATTCAGTTTTTGTTACTGACGAGTCTTCTGTGTCCTTTGTTCCTGATTCCGATCCCATTCCAAGCTCTGCAGCCCCTATATGTGAAGCCAGCAATGGAGGTGGGTGCCTTAAGATGGTGGAGAGGCTGATGAAGGATCAGAAGGGGGAGCTGATAGGAAGGTACAGGAATGAGAAGGTGTGGGAAACTATTGAAGGAGTATTTATTGAGATGGAACAAAATGTGTTGAGGAGGGAGGGTATGACTGAGATCAGAGGGGAGGGGTCAAGAGGGAGAAGATTAGGAAAGGAGAGGAGAAATGAAGGGGAAATGGCAGGGGGAGTACTGGTGGAGGGAAACAGGAGAGAGGATTCAATAGCAGAATTTGTGGGGAAACTGGGATGTAGAATGGAGAACTTGGACGTCCTGAAAGGCAGTTTACAGAAGAGAAAAGAGGAGATCAAAGTGAAGAAAAGGAAACTGAGTGAAGTTGAGAGGTTGAAAAGGGATGTGGAAGGTGATAAAAAGTTCGGGGTGAAAGGAGATAGAAGAAAAGGGGGGAAGTAGTGGGCAGGTGAAGAAGGGATTTAAGAGAGTTGATAATGAAGATTCTTAGCTGGAATGTGAGGGGTATAGGAAGTGCAAGGAAAAGAGCAACGATTAAAGAGGTGTTAAAGCGATTTGATCCGGACATTGTATTAATACAGGAGTCCAAAAGAATGGAGTTTGATGGAAGATGGGAAAAGAGTATTTGGAAAGCTAGGGGGATCAATTGGGTGGCTGCCCCATCATGGGGAGCCTCAGGGGGGATAGTTACATTGTGGAAGAAGGATGTGGTTGAAGGTGTGGAGGAGCTAATTGGGAAAAATTCAATTTCACTAAAGTTTAAGCAGCAAGGGGATGTTTATGAGTGGGGACTAACAAATGTTAATGGTCCAAATGATTATAGAGAGAGGAAGGAATTGTGGGAGGAACTGGCTGATGTCAGAGGACTATGGGATGGGCCTTGGTGTGTGGGTGGGGATTTCAATGTGATTAGATTCACGGAGGAAACCAATATTAGTAATCAGAGGGTGACAACTAGTGTGAGGAAGTTTAATCGGTTTGTGGATGCTTTTGAACTCAAAGAGATACCTTTAGCCCAAAAGTCTTTCACATGGTCCAATCTCCAATCGAGTCCTATCTACTCTAAGTTGGATAGGTTTCTTTTCTCATTGGATTGGGAAGACCACTAGGGCCACCTTGCCTCTAGGGATCTTCCTAGATTGACCTCGGATCATTGGCCAATTGTGATATGCAAAGAGGAGAGGAGTGGAGGACTTGCCCCTTTTAGGTTTGAGAATATGTGGTTGCTCCATCCTGGGTTTTCTACGAGAGCTAAGGAATGGTGGAGTGAGTGCAACCCACTGGTGGATTGGGAAGGCATGAGATTTCATAAGAAGCTCCAATTTCTGAAAGCCAAGCTCAAGGAGTAGAATCAGTTGGAATTCGGGAGATTAGAAGAAAGGAAAAGTACACTAATGGATCAAATTGAGTTCCTTGATTCGAAAGAAGAAAGGGGAGAATTTGGAGAGGTAGATAAGGAACAAAGAAGAGGCTTGAGAAGGCAGTTAGAGGATTGTCTTCATAAGGAGGAAATAAATTGGAGGCAAAAATCTCAACGCAAATGGCTGCAAGAGGGAGATAGAAATACCAGATTTTTTCATTCTGTGGCAAATGGAAGGGGAAGGAAAAGCATGATCTCAAGGCTGGAAGTGGATGGTGTTGCTCTAACACAATAGGATGAAATAGCAAGGGCATTTGTTGAACACTTTAAATCCATATTAAGAAGGCCATTCAGGAGGGGGATGTGGCTAGAAGGTATGGATTGGCCAGATGTAGGGGAGGATAATAGGCAAAGGTTTGAAAGAAGGTTTAAGCTGGAAGAGATTAAAAGGTTGTGTTTTCTATGGATACAACAAAAGCTCCAGGCCCGAATGGTTTTACAATGGCCTTCTATCAAGACTGTTGGGATATCGTGAAAGGTGACCTTCTGCTAGTGTTTGAGGAATTTTATAGAAGAGGTGTGGTCAACCCGGGTCTGAACTCCACTTTTCTAGCATTAGTGCCAAAGAAGAAAGATGCTTCCCACCCTAAGGACTTTAGGCCAATCAGTCTAATAAACAACTTGTATAAGATCCTAGCAAAGGTTTTGTCTCTGAGGTTGAAGTATTGCCAACAATAACCTCTCCAAATCAAGGAGCTTTTGTGAATGGGAGACAAATTACTAATCAAATTCTGATTGCCAATGAAAGTGTGGAGAATTTAAGGAAGAATAGGAAGAAGGGAGTGGTCTGTAAGCTGGAATTGGAAAAGACTTGTGACTTGGTGGAATGGCCATTCTTGATGAAAGTTATGTCCAAATTTGGGTTCGGGACTAGATGGTGTAAATGGATCATGGGGTGTATTCAGAACTTTCATTATTCTGTGGTAGTGAATGGGACAGTGGTGGGTTTCTTTCCAGCTATTAGGGGAATAAGACAGGGTGACCCCCTATCTCCTTTCTTGTTCACTTTGGTTGCTGATGTACTGGGGAGGTTGATTCATAGAGCAGATTCTAGGGGCCTTTAAAGAGGATGGAGACTAGGGAGGGAGGAAATTCCCCTTACCCACTTACAGCTTGTAGATGACACAATTTTGTTTTTTGAAGGTGGGAACTTGAGGTATTTCAGGAATATGAAGTTGGCGATACAACTTTTTGCACAAATGTCCAACCTAAAGGTGAATTTTGAGAAAAGTTGTGCTGTGGGTGTGAATTTGGAGGAGGGTGAGATCAGGGAAAGTGCAGAAATATTGAGTTGTGAAGTCTCAGGTTGGCCTTTGGGTGATAACCCAAAGAAGGAGAGTTTTTGGAAAGATTCGAAAAAAGACTTACCTCTTGGAAGAAGAATTATCT